CCTAACACTCGCAGTGTCCGGCGGTGGGGTAGATGCTAGTGTAAATGGGAGAAACGCTTGTGCCTTCCGGCGCCGCGGTAGGTATGCCCGAGAGCCTGTTGCCTTGAAACCGAAAAGTGATGAACTCATATGCCGAATGGTTGAGGGCTCTATGCTGCAGCAAACTATACATCGTACTCTTGACAGCGAACGCGCGCTGAATGCTCGTGAAGATAATAAACGAATGAGTTACTTCTAATCGCAGCGTTCTCATGTATTTCTCCCTTCCCTTCTTCATTTAATCATACAGTGTCCCTATTTTGGTTGAAGAAATACATAATTGTGTATATTTTTTATTTTTATCTAGAGGGTGTATGCCGGTTGTAATTCAGTTATGTATTGATCTTGTGATCGTATGTATAGTAAAATTCATCGAAAAGTGTAGACTTACATATTTGCATTTTCGAAAAAACTTAATTTCCTCTCTCTCTCTCAGTAGTGTTGCTAAACTGGACGCGAAGAGAGTTTTATTTTGACATTTTACCCGAGACATCATCATCCGCTCTGCGATTTACTGTCTTCCATCTCTGTTTTCAAGAGTACAATAGTTAAGTTTTGCATTTTAGTGAGAGGGAAAGGCTACGCATTATGACTAACCGTAATATTTCATTGCCAAGCTTGGAGCTGACAATAGAGGCTTAAGTTACCGGAATTAGTGCCTTGCGGTCACGACTCTTTTGTTGTTTTCGGTTTCCATTACAGGTTTTTGGACGATAAAAAAAAACTTATGATATGAAAGTGGGCAGTTCGCCTTTGGAGTTTTTTTTTTGTTAACTATGGATTACTCGTCCGCAGGTACGCTATCAACGCTAACTATTATACACTTCATTATGGGGTTCTTGAGTAACTCATCCTGGATAAATGATTCAAAAGGATCTTGTATGTGGGCGCTAGTTAGTGTTCTAGTTCAAATGACCTTGTCCTAGCCCGAGGTTGGACGAGGTCATGCGCACGTTTCTATTTTTAGATGAAGCTCATCGCTCTAGGTGAAGGGCATGCAAAAAAGCGAAGGTTTTCTTCACCTGTCATTTGCCTAAACATATCTTTTCATAGGATCGCCGAGGCTTTGCTGTTCGACTTTGAAAATCAGGCATCACTGCCTCTTATTGTAGCTCTACTACACCTTATTCACATTTTATTTTGATGGTATATGGATCCGAGTTTCCATTGCCTATGAGTTTCAGCGTTGTGCATTGGATCGATCAGACATCACCAATATAGATTTTAATGAATCCAGCTCCAGTTTATGTGTGTAATGGAAATACGTTTCATCACCAGTTCTTTTATTTTATTCATTTAGCTGTGAGATATAACATTTTTTTTCTTATCATGGTTGTTTATCGCACTTGCAACCATACTGTTCACGATCGATATAGTAGGTTAACAGGTCTCATTGGAATCGATAGCGAGGATCTCAAAGCTTTTAAGACAGAAAAGGGATCATATCAACCTATCAGTGTCGAAGCTGGCTTCAAAGGCTCTTAGAAATGGATTTCCCATGTACTTGGGGCTGGGCATTACTGTGTGAGAAGGGTGAATGGGGAGAATCAAGCCAATTTCTCTCTGCTCCAGTACTTTTGCGCAGAATAGTCTTCATATCCATATGAATTTACCTAAATAATGAAATTGATTATATTATATATATATATATATATATATATATATATATACCTATCTATGCTTTCTAATTACATGTCCTTATTATTATTCATCATTTTGCATAATAAGGTCCACAGCCATCTATGTGAGTTAAACTACTTAATATCTCAGTATAGAGTCGGATAGAGTATTTCCTTAAGACGACATGCCAAAATATTAGATTGCACATTTATGTATTTAAATGAAGCTTTTCATTTATGTATATCCGTCTCTTTACGTTGAGCTTCCATTATGAATATATTTGCATCTCAACTTAGAGTTTGTATGATTTAGTTCTTAAAAAAAGTAAAATATATTAGTAGTAATAGTTTTATTAGCGCCATCTTTTGTTACCGTATGTTATACTCATGGGAGATATCAGATGTAACCCCAGAAGACTTTTTGGGGTATTATTTCATCAAAGACGAGCAACTCACTATATTAGTGGCCATGAAACGTTTCCATTGACTATTACCCAGTATAGTATTCCAGCCAACTTGACAATTGCTCGAGGACGTCGAGAGCCGCCGTTGCCTAATGCTAGCTTAGGTGTGTACACACGCCTGAATCGTTTTTTCTATACGCTTGTGTCGCTTTTTTGTGGTAAAACTAGAACCCAGTTGTGGACTTCAGAGGTTGTGCTTGCGTTTGCCTCTGTTCGATTCGAAAAGTCACCAAGGAAGCTTTGCATACCTGCTATTAATTCAATGAGTTGCATCGCTAACATATCAAGGGTTTCAAAAATGCGGTTGTATCTGCCTTGTAGACGTGTGATCCTCAATTTCAACGCTAGTCGTGATTTTAACACAAAATCTACAGATGACTCAAATGTCAAGACACCACCATCGACCACTGTTTTGAGTGGACGACGCACTAATACATGTTCTAAGTGGTATGCAAAGCAAGCTGACCAACGTCTTCTGTTTCCTGAGGATATCCTCCACATCAACTCTGGGCAACTCTTACATTCTAAAACCCTAAATTTACCAGCAAGCTCAGTCGATATGTTTTTCGGGTGTATGCGTGTGGCGGATTCTATGCGCTGGGATCTCGCTGCCCTTTTTAAGCAGATGCCGTTTTCTGTGAAGATCGAAGTGGTATGCAGGATGCTCCAGAAGCGAGACGACGAGGTATGTGATGAGCCCTGCTCCAAGCATTTGAGATTGAATTATATGCTCCAGACAATTGTGGAGGAGGCAACAACAGAACCAAGGGATGAGGCGTGGCTAGCACGTGTTATGATGTGCTTGGATGAAACTCATATAGATAATATCGGAAAAGATTTCTCAACATTGCGACAGATGCTGAAGATGTCATTATTTTTCTTGCCCCTTAGCATTTTACCGCACGGTCATCACGACAGGCTTCTGTATCACGTGCTTCGGTTGGGGGAGCGGGTGTTCAACGACCGTTGGAATGAATGGTCTGAGGTGCTTGCGGAGGCAGGCCTGGGTTTTGAGGCGTGCGCCTATGCTTACGCAGACTCTTTGGGCGGGTTTATAGAGCCACAGCGCAGGCCCTTTAAAAAGGGTTTCGGGAATGCGGTGCTGGAGGCACTAGCTCAGCCCAAGTCCTTAGTCGAGACCATTCAGAGGCTTTCCACATGTATGCCTCGAATTTTAGCACGTTACACGCACTGTCTTACGGCTCTTTCGATTATGCGGCAATCACACGAGTGCCTTCAAAGCTCTTGTCTCACAGAGAGCCACTTTTTTTTTCCATATGAGCTAGTGGAAACCTCTATGAACCGACTTGAATTTGCAAGTCTTATTCATTTCACCTTGTTTGCTGGAAATTCTCAGACTGCATACCTGCTGCTGACGCAATGTACTACACCTAAGCAGATTGCGACAGTGATGCACCACACTCGTGATGCCGGACACTTTTTGAGTCTAAAGGCCCTCACAGAACTGCTGTTTTTCAGTCCGTCTGGGCGTGCTTATGTTGTGCTGCAACTAAATGAGGCTGAAGCACCACTCCTTTTTGATGTAAAGTCTCATCGTCTAGACTTTGAAACAAGCATCGAAGCTTTTTGTACTCAACCTGGCGGCATTCAGCGCACACGAGCCAAAATCGCAACGTATCAATGGAAGGAGGTTTACAATGTGCTGCAAGATGTGTTGCCACGTTCAGTCCTGAGCACTGGGTGCCAATCACTGGAGATATTACTAACAAATGTCCCCATCTCAGCTATTCCTTTTGTGGTTAGCACCTTCTCTCCGTTCACGTCAGAGCTGGTTTCGTGGTGGGCTTCATTATATATCCATTCTGGAAATAGTGATGCCGCTATGAGATTACTGAGCTGCAGCTTAAGTCGTAATGTGTTTCCAGAAATGTGGGTTTTAGTGGAGCTCCTGGAGTTTCACCGAAATCACGATAAGACCCTCAGGTCATGTGTTGAGCTTATCAGGTCACAGTTTCCTGCACTGTCAACCGCGGTTTTTAGAGCTTTTGTGGAGCGCACTGCTTACCTCCAGGGTGTAGGACTAAGTGACAAAGGCATCGCAGCCCAAGCACTAGAGCTGCTGTCGAGTGTTGCGATTCTGGGTCTGTCACATTACCCTGCAGTGTGTATTCAGCAAATATTGGAGAAGGCCCCGACTCCTGTGGTAGGAGTTATGCTGCAGTTTATGCAAGGCGAAGGGTCAAAGGCATTTAAAAATACACCGGCACCTCTTCATGTCGGGGTTATTGAACGCCTGGTCGCGGCAGCCCATACTCTCGGACTCAACCCCAAGTTAGATGTTTATGTGGTAATTGAACCCTCTAAAGAATTAACTTGGTGGTCGTCCCATGGCCTTCCGTCCACAAAATGTGCGGTGCATCGTTTGTACAGTACCCAGGCTACGGGGTTATGGCCACTAGCCTTTGAGCGCATTCACTCCACATCACACTTCAAATTAATGGAAGTACACCAGGCAGTTCGTCTCATAGCTGTCGGTTGCAGTAGCGCTAGGACGGTGCGTGAGGCTGTGTGCACCTCGCAAGATTATCTCTTAGGCAATCCTAATTCATCCAGCCTTTTACAGCGCCAAAACGAGTCCAGTTTAATCACGACTCTGGCGTGTGTTGCTTCGTCACTCACCGCACGAGGGGAGTGGGAGGCCTCACTGGAACTCATCAGTCCATCCGTGACAGATTTGCCTCCCCTGTTGCGTATCGTAAAGTTTCAGGCGCTACTCCATGATCCTCAGGCCCGGGAGCTTGCCGAAATGAATTTGGAAGATAGCATACATGCCTTTGTCGAGGCTAGTGAAGAGGCAAAGACTCATCGTTGTCCACACCATTCATATAGAGGCCGGAGCTTTCGCAGATTCCGATTCCGAACACACTCACCACGTGTGATATTAGGGCGAAAATGCTGCGTCGGCCGACCCTGGCAGAGTTATTTGGCATTCACTAAGCCTTTACGGAAACTTCTTACGAAATGTGAGAATAATGCCCTTATTTCTTAGCAGGCTTCTGCTTTTTTTTCTGTTCAAAAATCAATCGTATGATACAACCCTTCCTTAGTTTCCAAAAGAAGTGTTTTGATTACATGTATGCATGTGCCATTGTCAATTTTTCTGCTTACCCTTCCTCTGTCACGTTTTCGCATAAATTCCTTTGAAGTGGATAATTTCACTCTAAAAGTTAGGTGTGTGGTATTTTGTTTGAATGAAAAGAGGGTAAAGTCTTTAGTGTGCATTATGAGAAAGACTGTATTATTTTTGGGCGGGTTCACTATGAAGTACATCAGAGGCACCGGCCTCTACGACGAAGACCACGTGAACGACTATGATGCCAACCCTTATATGTCTGCGCGCACTACAATGCGGTGGTATTACCATATGGAACGCCTTCAGACGCGAAACAACCTCAAGGCAAGACAGGCAACACAGAGCTATAATAATAATATGGGACTGCATCACAGCGGGCGTGGCGCGTTTGAGCGTGAGGCAGAGCGTCGAGGAATAAAGGTTGAGAAGTATCCTCTCACAACAACTACTGGCACAAGGCGTGTGGCTGAAATGGTTCTCCTACGCCGACAAAAACTCGAAGAACATTCGGCGAAGCTTATGGAGAAACAGCGTGCAGAGTTGCGTCGACCATCACCGTCTGAATGGTACGATGAGTCAAAGGGACCTTTAAATCCAAATTTTCTCAAGAGGATGCAGGTGAATTATGACGTGAATATTGTAGATCTTCCAAATGCACCATTGGTGCGAAGTTCCACCTGAATGACCCACAGCCTACCTTTTTGCTCTTTATTTTGGCGATGAAGAGGATCTGATGGGGGAGAGTGTTGATCCAGTTGCAGTGATGGCTTCGGGTATCCAGAGGCTGTTCAATTTGTCGAAATATTTTGCTTGTTTTGTGAACTCATTGGCTGATTTTATTATGCGTCTGTCTGATTTAACAAGTATAGTTCGATGTGCACGTTTGCGTCTACACAACAGAAATTTGTCTATACATTACTTATAAAAACTTATGTTGATACATGCACCTACATTTATATATTCGTATATAATATTTAACTTTATATATCTATATAGTGTATTCTCGTTTGTCTCGTAATTAATTTTGTCGAAGTACCCCAATTTCATAAGATAGTGGCACGAGGAGACATCACTATCAAACTCCACCAAAGCACTAAAAAGCACCTATCCACAAAGGTTTGACCTTTAAAACCATGAAATGACGAACAATACATTACCGTATGATGTAGTTTACTGCAGTAGCCAAGACCCCCGTCACCCAATTAGCAATATCTTGGGGCGCATCCCTGTTAAAGATGAAGAGCAATGTGTAGAGTCTCCTCTGATATCTGGTGGGTGGCAGAGCGAGAAGAATTGCAAGACAGCGCAGATGCTTGTGCTTCGTTTCTCAGGAAATGTTTGGTTGCATCAGCTCAAAATTATTATGCATGAAATTAAAATAGCATCCAGGGTCGAGATAAGCGTTTTTAAATTACAGGGCGAGGCCTTTGTGGAGCCACCGTCGTTCAAGTTGGTGAACTTTCAGAAACTGGGCACCGTAAATTTCAATTGCAGTGAACAACCTGTCCCTAGGACTAAGGAGCGCAAGACGGTTTATCTAAAAACGGAGGCGTACTTCGTGAAAATCCTATTTGATCAAGTTTTTACCAGCAATTTGAATAAACATAACCAAGTCGGCATCTACTCGATCGAATGTGTTGGGCGTTTGCTCACATTCATCCCTTTTCATGCTGATGCAACCGTTGTAAATGGTGTCAATGTGGACTCGAGCAGTCTGGACTTATTGCCTTCCGAGATGCGATCCACTCATAACTTGTCAAGGAATGGCTCACGTCCTGCCGATTTCGAACTGTCCAGTGGCAGAAACACTCCTTGTGTGAGGCAAAGTAATTCCTCAGGCTCCGTATCGCATCAAATGCACTCGCTGAAGGACGTTCAGTATCATCAAGGTGCCGCCACTTCCATGTTATCCGTTCCTTCAAGTACCTTGCCAGGAGCTTCTACACAGATTCAATCCTTCCGTTCTGTGCGGATTGTAGAATTTGAGGAATTTTTTCTTCGGCGTTTAGAGGAATTATTTTCTCTCAAGGAGCAAGCAGTTGCTGTCAATGATTTCGATACAGCCACGAAGTGTGAGGAAAAGCTTTTGGATTTAAACAAAGCATCCAGGACGGTTTACCGCCTAGAGCAATGCAAAGTTCAGGCAATCATTGAGGAAGATTTTAATCGTGCTGAGGAGACTAAGAAACAGATGGATGATGTTGTGGAAGGCGTGTACAAAACCCTTGATATGCCTATGTTGCAATGCAAAAACTACACTTATGCGCTGTCCTTGTCTACAGACAAGATGAATGAAAGTGCTAGCGCGGATCAGAAGGCCATCAAAGCAGATGCTGTTACTAACAGAGTGATCTGCAGCGACAAGTTAAACGACCCTACGGCCTCAGCGTCTGCTTCTAGGGATGGCGAGTTGGCCAGAGGGGAAGATGGACACGACATACGCGACATGACATCTACAACGGTAGACCGAGATGCCTTCAATCCTTATGATCAGCAGGAATTTCAGCTGTTTAAAGACGACGTTGAGGAGTCTTCGAAGGTATTAGAAAATGCAATCTGTTCCCTTACCGGAGAAGGTGAAAATGATGAAGGATTTCCGGCTGATAGCAGCCTTGACACGCGTGCCCTGAGGAAGAGTTTAGGTCCCTACGTAGCGGCATGTTTAGTCTCACGTAATTTCAAGCTTCGTGAAGGGGCTTTGTTAGTGGTGACAGAACACATCAGCACCACTTTACGGAGTTCTGCCGCAGCTGTAGCGGATGCAGTGCTGCGCTTTTTAGACTTCAATTCGTTTGGACTGCAGGATCCCATTCCTAATGTGGTGTTTGCTGCCTGCAACTTTGTTCGGAAGTCTTTAGCTGATGAGTGCCATTGCATTAGCAAATATCTTCCATCCCTTCTGAATCTCCTTCCACGGCTTTTGTGTCGTGCCTCCGAAACAAACCCTCGTATGCGCAGTGAGATAATGATGACACTCCAATTGTACATTCAGGTAGAAAAGGTCCCTGACACCGCGATTTTCCAGGCCATTTTGGCAGATCCCATTGATCGTGAAAAGCGAAAGGTACCATTTACTAATCCACGCCCACAAATAGTAAGGTTAAACATGTTGAAGTTTCTGTTAAGTGCTGGTCGACTGACGCTGCCTAGCGCTGGTGGAGTTAACCTCACACGCAAGCTGCTGCTTCCGGCTGTTAATCATCAAAGCCCTGAAGTGCGGGACACTGCAACAGCTCTTTATACGTCACTTGTATCCCTAAAATGCTTGCCTGTGAAAAAGAAAGACTTGATTAACATCACCAACTCTGGTATTAGACAAGCTATCCAGGCGGCCAGTGAATCATAGAAGGTTATGATTTCACCACTTATGTGAATTGCACTTGTACATATATCCATACAAATATACGTTTCTCCGTATTCATTATAGATGGGTATATATCCCAGTGGATTTGTAGCTCCTCGACGGTTTTTTGTTAGATGCTTGCTCGATGGATCGCTATATTAATACGATTTTATTTGGTGCTACTTTTTCCCATGAATAACAGCCATTGAATTATAGCTGCCATTCTTAGTGTTTTTTTCTTTCACTGTTTTTATACTCCTGACTTCGTCGTCATTATTCTACTCATTTTTTCCCCTGAGAATGATCCATAAGGGACTCCCACCTCAAAAAAAAAAAAAGTCAAGTAATAAACAAGAGTCTCAGGAACTTGCATTATTTCTTATTCTATCTTGAATGCCTAGCACACCGTCGCATGAGGATGGTATATCTGGGTACGAAAAGGAGGCCTTTATCGACCTGGACGATCCTAATGTTGAAATCCTTGGGGAAAATGAGAATTTAGCTTTTGATCACGATGGAGAAGTCATCTCTGATGCCGACGTCGAGCACAAAAGTGATTCTCAGCATAGCGATGAAGTGGGCCATAGAGTTGGTTCGTTGCACCAGAATGATGTCGAAGCCGAAGACCTCAATACCATTCCGGACCGAACCCCAGAACGTGATGATGCTATTGCCACATTCGTATGCGCTGAGAGCAAACCAGTTCACGCCGTTTCGGTGCATCCCACGGAGCCATTCCTATTTGCTGTATCAGGTGAGAGTGAAGAGGTGTACATTCTGCGACTTGATAACGAGCAGGGTGAGGTGAAATTGTTGCAGACCCTTAAGGGACATTCCGATACCGTAAGCTTGCTGTCTTTTTCACCAAGTGGAGAGTGGCTTGCAAGCGGGAGCCTCGATTCGACTATTAGGCTGTGGTCAACAGAAACCTGGGTAACAGTTTACACGCTGAGCGACTTATATGGTGAAATTACGACCTGCCTATGGCATCCCAGCAGCTTGCTTTTCCTTGCTGGTGCTGACGACGCACAGGCAGCCATGTGGAATGTTACGAAGGGTACGCTGTCGATGTATTTTGTTGGCCACCGTGGACCTATATCCAGCATGGTGTGGTCGCCAAACACGAAGAAAATTATTACTGGAAGTGGAGACGGTTCAATCAGCGTTTTCAATCCTAGAACAGGTGAACAGGAGCTCAGTCTGTCAAAAGATATCAGTCCTGATGGGGCCGGGATAACAACCTTGTGTTTCGTAAACGACGATCAGTGCATCGTTGGCTGTGAGGATGGTACATTGCATGTTTTTTCCTTCCGAAGTGGAAAAATAGTCACCCATATGGAAGATTTGCATGACCAGGCTATCGAGTCTGTGAGCGTCAACACTGTTTTCAACTTCTTTATTACGTCTAGTTGTGACTGCAAAATTATTGTATGGAACATAAATGGGTTTTCTCCGAGAATGGTACATGAAATCGAGGAAAGCATCATCCCTGCGTTGTGGGTAGATCAACTTTTACTAGCTGGATGCAGCGATGGAAGTGTTCGTGTTTGGGATGGAAGATCTTCTTCGCTCGAGTCCCTATACACATTTAAGGGTCATCGTCGCATGGTACTGAGTATGGCTGTATCAGAAAACATTATAGTAACAGGAAGCGATGATGGAAGCGTGAAGTTTTTTCACCTTACAAAGGATCTCTTTGAGGAATCATAGATGTTAGTACTCACTCCTCTGATTTCTATTTGTTTTGAGAGGGAGGATACAATAAGAGTAATGAAAACATCAGTATTAACTTCCTTAGATGCGATAGCCCACGGAAGAATTAAGTGATATATATACATATATATATCTAAGCGACACTAATTAAGGAAACACCTCAAAATAGTTGAGCTTTTTAAAATTATCTTTCCTTTAACCGTAAAGTTGATTGTTCATCTTTATTTTGATTTCATTGGATGATTAGTATCTGGCTCTTTTTTTCTGCGAATCTGGCTTTAAATTTCAGGACTGCTTAACGTTAACTGGCAATAGAATTTTAAATCAGCTGAAGGAAGAAAGGAAATTGTGAAGACACCATTTAGTATACTAGAAACACCATAAAGCTTTTATATATATCCATAATTTTCCTCTAAATGAATACCGGACATGCTCAAGAAACGAGCGATACAGATAATATGGGCAATGAGGCTAATACTCAACTTTTGGAGTTGCAAGGGGCATTCATCGATGCTCTAACAAATATGGGTCTAATGGGCAAGCTAAAGGCGCAACTCCGAGCAGTTGCGCTGGCATTGCTTCGTGGTGATCCGAACCTTAGTCTCGCAGCAGTTGGCCCCACAAAATCCTTTGTACATGCTCCAATAGAAACACAGATATCACTCTTATTAATAAATGACTTTCTTACAAATAATCACCTCACTCAGACTGCAGGTGTTCTAGAAGTTGAGGCAGGAATATCATCTTGCTCAAGCTGTGCCGAGGAGCAGATGAGAAGCAGTATTGGCACCCTCTCTGGAGACGGCACCATGCTAGAGCGACTCATTCATTTCGCTATTAACGGGAATCATACCCCTAATTCACACTTATCTGCGTCTCCACAAGCTGCTCTGGTTAATTCTGAACCAGAACCAATGCTACCATCCACGCGAGATAAGACGTCCGTGGACACTGAAGAAGCTCAAGAAACTTTGCTAGAGCTGTGCAACCCAAGGCTTCACGATGAAATAAATCAGTATGAAAAATCCATATCATACAGCGACATTGAAGAGTGTCTTAACGAAGACTTATACACTGAAATAGAATTATTTTAATCATTAGGGGGTAAAATCCCCATTCAAAGCGCTTTGCCGCGTTCAGGTTTGACTCTACATTATTCATTTATGTTGCTAATAGCGGTACTTTCAAATATCTATGATGAACGGCTTTTCTATTTGATCCCTGCATTCTTCCCTCCTATTCCTCTGATTGGAACCCGCGATCAAGCGTCACGTGTTCTCCTTCTTCTTTATCATCCAGTATTTTCTGTTCATGGTGCGCGTTTGATGCTATTCATATGCACGCGTCTCAACCTATGTTCGACGACAGTCGGTGAACGTGCTTTCCACCGCTTCGTCGAAGTCCTCAAAAAGTGTAGAATTTATGAGAGCTTAAAGATACCTCAAACCTCGGAAGATTTATCGAGCCAAGCAGTTTTTCAGCCGTTTTTACCTCTCTTCACGCCATATTTTAGCTTTCACAACCAGCAGCTCACAACTCTTGGGGATACCGTGATCGATGACTATATATCTGCTGCACTTTTAGACTACGGTGCCCATTCAGGACTCATAATGTCTGTGAATTCCTCAAAGCAACTGAACGCCGTTTTACATAACCATTTTTCGTTGCAACTCTTTGCGCACGAACTTAAATTAAACGACCTCGCCATACCATTAGCGCATGAAGTGGGGGAGGGTCACGCGTCGCTCGACTTTCTCGAGGCTCAGCGGCCGCCTGTTCGAGATCGAGACACCGCTGGGACGTCGTTTCATATCACACCACTCCCCGAAGGGCAGAGTCCACTCGGCTGGAAGATGTCACACTTTATTGGGGCTGTGCATCTTTCATTCGGGAACACAGCATCTATGAAAGCTTTGGAGTCTCTGTATGACTTGAGTAATGCGGGGAACGTCGTTGGGTGCGCTTCTTCGTTGCTCTTGCGAACAGTGGAGTGTTTCCCCGCGACAAACGTCGCGGGAGCATTATTAGCCGCGCAGGGTATTCCGGTCCGATTTGTTGGCAAAACACGCTTGCTACCTCAAGATGATCATGGCTATAATAAGACCGAAAAGGAGTCTCCCTCGGTGGATAGTGAAACCAAAGGCAATGGCTCCGGGAATGCCATGTCGGTGGGTAATTCTGTTGGAAACGGTGACCGCAGCTGTCGTAACGCCGATTGCGGGGATCGCAATGACCATCTTATCGCATTGAGTGGGTTTGGCATTAAACTTACGCAAGAAGATATTTCTCTAGATGCTATCATTGGCTCCAAGGATGTTCGTGCTACTTTAGCAGCCGGTCCTGGAGTCGTGGATTATGTCGAAACGTGGAGGCAACGCACGGCCGAACTTGTCAAGCGGAAACTGGAGGAGCCTCCGGAAGCTGCCCTGGAAGATGGATGGCTGACTACAGCAGAACAACGGCACTACAAGAACGGACCGGCCTTTTCTCAGACGGTTGATTTTTCTTTGTTCCGGTCTTTCGCCGACGAGTATGGTGGTTCGCAGCCGGTTGATGGGAAATGGATTGGGAGGAGGAAGTTTAAGAAGGCGGTTCGGGATCCATTGTTTTATGACAACCGTTCGGATATGCGAAATGGTGTTCCATTTTCTACAAATGGTGAACCGCTTCAGGACTATCTAGAGCGTTTTGATCGGGCACATGAGAGGCTATTTGAGGTCACGATGTTGACAGGTATGTACGAGGAACGTGTCCTTGGGAGGGCAATCGCATCGTCTTACACAGTGGCGAGAGAGTTGGCATGCAGGGCATACCTTGGTGGCGTTATGAACGATCTCGGTGCGCTTTTAAATCAGCATGAGAACTAAACCTAAATATGAGTTTTGCAAGGCATATGTTCTTATGAAGTTTGTCAGAGTTTGAGACCATAAAATTGCGAAGCACAAATAAATGACCAATGAGATGTTTTGTTATGTCCTGCTTTCTACTTTTTCATATTGGGTAGTATATGCACCTTTCTCTATTTGACTTATTTCTCCTTGGTATACCACGATTAGGTGCTATGAGAAAGGTTAACTAAAAGAAGTCCTTTTACTCCAACCAAGCTCTAACATGTTGTCTTAAACATGCTTTGGTGTAAAAAAACTTTTCAACAGAGCTTTCCAGACGATCATTGCCGTATTTTTCCAACCCAACAACAACTTTTTGAATTCTTGGATGACAGAAAGCCAAGGGACACAGAGCCGTCTAGATGGTTCCCCTTTTCTATAGAGTTTCCTTCTGAACTAGATGTCATTAAATGCTTGGCACATCGCACTAGTCCTAGCACTAGCGCGTTGTTTAAGAAAACAACACTAGTGGATCAAAAAAATATGCCAAACAGGAAGCGATGTAGTTCGCAGGCCGTTAGGGAGGACTATTGTCTTCTCTACGGAGAAACCCCATTATCCGCGCAGAGTCGCATGTTTTTAGCAGCTACGATCGATGGGATCCAGTCGATCATTCAGACTATTCACCCTCTCCAACTCCACTTGTACGAGATTATACGTGAATCCACTCCCTGCCATTTATATTTCGATGTGGAGCGTTCTAGTGACTATATTTGCTGTCAAGAGGAAATTGACTTGGATTCTCTCAGCTGCGCTGGTGAAGCGAGCGACGATGAGGTTGTCGTCTGTCCAAAAGCGAAGAATGACATTCTTGTTGCCACTATTCAATCAAATCGCATTCCTCGAATTTACCGGGCCCCAGTTTCAGAGTATGAAAAGCTTCTCAGATCTGCTTCGAGCATTCCAATGCGTTTATGTCCACTCACCTGTACCATAGTTCCAGACGAAACGCGCACCGAAGAGGTCTTACTCTCTGAGCTTAGTGCTTTTATCGTGAAGCATTACCCTTTTTTGAAACTTGAGGGCAATCCCAAGCAAAATCTGTCCTCTATTGAACACATCGCTCACACGGTTTTCGTAATGCGCTCTGTATCTTTGAATACAAATGTGTGCGCGGTGCAGAAGTTCTCACAACACTACGTTATAAATTTGCATCGACATATTTTTGACAGCAACGCGTCTGTGGGGGAGTTTGTGAAGCATTTCGTGGGGTATCTGCAGACAAGGTGCGGGGAAAGCCTCGAAGTGCATCGTGCACTATTTTACCATGGTGCGCCAGTTGTTGAGGACTTGACATCTAGCTTATCGGAGACCCGATCCTCCTTGACCCTGCCCCTTCTTCCTCGCAGGTGCATCATTGACACAGCTGTGTATAGTCGGAACCGTATGATGCGTACCCTGGGTAGCTGCAAGCTGGGGAAAGAAAGCGTGCTGAAGTTGGAGTCGGTCAAACGGAACGGCAAACCAATCAATTTCGAGAATAGTTCAGCATTTGAAAATTTAATGTCTTCATTGATAGTCGCGCATCACTGGTCTTCTCCGTTGTCTGCTGATGAAAGAAGTATTCTACACATTGAAGGGCAAAACCACTCAGGAAGAGGTGCTCTTGTAAAGTTTAGCAGGGTAAAATATACTCAAGATGAAGCTTCAATCGGACCCCCTTTTTGTTTTTCGGATCTTGAACGTGCGAACGTTTTGAGTGCTATCAGTCGGATCGAGGCATCTTACAGCAATATCTGCGGATGTGAATGTTTTGTTACGTCCACAAGGCGTTTAGGTGAGCGCTATGCAATTCTTTCACTTGGCGGAACGCGGTACTGCCAAAACGTTATGCGAGAACACAAATCAAATAATGTGTATCTTGTTATGGATCTTGTGAAGAGGACATGGGTTCAAAAATGCTTTGACCCTGATTGCTCGCAGTATCGTTCACAGCCGAAACTATTTTAGCTTCTACCCATTTTTTCCACATATACATATATATGTGAATGCATCATTAGAAAAAAAAGATACCGTTAAATAATGATGCTGCTTGTTCACAGTAAATCACGTCTGTGTCTTAGTTTGCTCATTACCATTGCAAAAGGATAAGCGAAAGGAAGCGATGATGCCACTTAAAACAGCATAGAATTATTTCTATTCCATTCAATTTCCCATTTAAGGTGATCACCTATTTTTCCCTTCGTAGCTGCCGAACCGTTCTCATACTTTGTAAGAAATAGTCTTATAAATGTATATGACACAAAAACGATCGAGAAAACGTTTTCTAAAACATGCTTTAGTGTTTCTCTTATATTATTTGATATGCATGTCTTGCATAGCAGCAACTGAGGAAAACCATGGATTTGACGTAGAAATTTGGAATAGAAAGGTCTATGGAGCCTTTTACGATAGAATGTACACAAACCTCAATGATGCGTATTTGGTCGGACTGACGGCTGAATCCGCAGACCCCATCCGTTATTTTGGAAGCGGTACGATATCCTTCACGGTACAAACGTCAGTACTAGTTCCTATCAACGTGGCCAATCATGTAAAACTTTTTAACATGTGCTCGGAAGCACCTGAAGTCATGGCGAATGCATGGCGTGGATTTCTTGAAGACTTTTCATTTCCCCATGCTTTTCATGACATTCACCAAAGCATTACTCTTGTGCCTTTTTCCTCATCAAGTAACAACGAGCTCGCTATCAGGTACGATTTGACTTGCCTCATCAATGCCATACAATCGTATCGTACTTTATCGCATCCAAAGTTACCCTCCATCGACGTGATCATTATCAATAGCGAAGATACAGTAAGAAAGGTAAAGCTTAACGCAAGTGCATCGCAATACGATAACTGTATTTACTCTAACTTAACCACCTTAGTCTACGAAAACGGCAACCAGCAATGGAATGACGTGCTCGAAAAGGCTCGTTTTAATGAA